AAAATTTAATTAAAACCTTTTAAATGTCTGGAAAATGAGATAATGAACACAACGATGTATCCGTTTCCTTTCTCACTTTGATAGTGACCAAGTAATATGAATTCTCCTGACAGGTTTATTTACCAATTCTGCTGTCAAACTACCAACAAAGGGAGGTAATCTGAAAAATGAAAACTTGAATAGGTTTGTAGTTTTCATGAATAAAATTTCTTTTTGGGTGAAATATGATGCTTTGAGATCATGTGCATGTGAAAAACAAACAGTACAGTGATACTATGATGTTACTGTCTTGTTTGATGATGTCATAGTAACTGTACATGTGATGTCATCATAACTATGATGTCATCAATGACATCATCGAGGATCACTGATATCAAAAAATTGAACACTAGGAAACCCATCTCAACAACAAACTAGCAACAGACACACTTCCCGTAACCGATGAACAGCACAGAAATGTCAGATATTCTGAAAAATCAGACAAGTGCCACCATAGCAACCGTTATTTACTTTCCTCGCCTTATTTTCCTTTCCTTTCCTCATAAGTGTTTACCTCATAGAGAGGTCTATTACGAAAATGCGTTTCTGCTAAGAGGGGATACTTCAAAGTAATGAAATAGAAAGATCAAAGTATATACATCCTACTTGTGATTCCTGACACTAGTGACAGCATTTATTGAATGGCCCTCGTATTCAGTATCACACAGCTTTACATATTAAAACTGTTCAAGAACGAACAGTGGAAAGGGATGAGAGACACATACTTTTTTCGGAGGCCCCACTATCGATAACCTATTACATACAGATGGTGCCTCCCACCTCTCCTACGATTACTAACGTAGTTCTCCCACAGCCACTACAAGCTTCCTCATTTCCGACTCATTCATTAACCTGCTAGGAGTTGGTAAACAGTTTTGGTTACCCACTAGTTGGTAACACCCTGGATGTGATTTCATTGGTCAATCTTTGATTCATGATGTCACATAACAATACTTTTCGACGTCATTTTTCATTGTGACGTCATGCTCCATGGCAATTGTTTCCCCCATCGGAAACACACACGATGTATTTGCCAAGGGAAAAAGGTGTTTTTCAGATAAAATAATAAAATACTAACATAATGGGAGAAACAGGTCCCCAATCTTGTGATGATAAGTTATCACGTTTATCTAACTCTCTTTCGTTAATTTTTTATTTGAAAAAAGTTCATTTGAAAATTAACTAACTCGAGTTAGATAAACATGATAACCATCCATCACTCGTTTCAGAACCTCTTACTTATAATGGAATAGCTCTTAAATATTATTTATATTAATCTTAAGTTGAAATAAAAGTATCCAGCTATGTTTCAGAAATATATTTGCTATAAATGTTGATTCAACTATAAATCAATGTTAAGTGCTGGCTGGGTAACCTTGATATCACAAAACTACCAGACAAAGTGCTTGACTTCATTTTTTGTCTCAATACCAACCCAATTAATCACCTTATGAACATCCTTATACATTACATTTTCATCAAACACAGTTTCAAATATTTGCATTTTCATATTTCCTTTGCAACAATGTTATAATGCGATTGACTTCCTTTTACTTTTTTTATGTCTGCAAATGTTTCTAACCTTTTCACTAAGAGCAGCTAGAAGTTTGTTCCTTTCCACCTTTAGACGCTGTATCTCATTATGTTGATTGGCAACCTCTGAAGCCAGTTTCACCTTGTCCTCCATTTCCTCCTTCACCTGACGTTGTAGCCCTGAGTTACTTGCCTGTAAGTGTAGCACTGCAAAGACAAATTGTATTTATAAAAGTAACATGTTTGCTATACATAGGTTACATATAAGTGTATGGGACACTGTTGGCCAGGCTATGTGCTCTGTGGCTTGCTTATCTGGAGATAAGTATAACAAATACACAATAATAATGGTAACTTGAGCATTTATAGCATATCACAAAGTCTGCATCCCTGGTAACAACCTACCCATTCAGCCCCTCAACAACCTCTGGTAACAACCTACCCATTCAGCCCCTCAACCTCTGGTAACAACCTACCCATTCAGCCCCTCAACAACCTCTGGTAATGACCTACCCATTCAGCCCCTTACCCATCCCTGATAACAACCTACCCATTCAGCCCCTCACCCATCCCTGGTAACAACCTACCCATTCAGCCCCTCACCCATCTCTGGTAACAATCTACCCATTCAGCCCCTCA